TGTATATATAGCGCAAGGTGCGGTCTAAGTCCCGCGCCTGTTATCTAAAACACGTGCCTGTGCATGTGTGTGGTTACTGTCCTTAAGTATAAATGCTTTGATAAATTTAAGTCTGGAAGGGCTTGCAGACATATGTACATGCATACGAATACGTTAGACATGTAAAATGCATAGAAGAGTGCCATATCTCGTATAGTGCATATGAGATTATATGAGATTCTGTGTCATAACGATGTTATATGCGCACGCTACCCGATATAGTCGAGTTAAGATATTCCTATGGCGGTATGGTGCATATGTATCTTTTTTGTTGTTGATCCTCCTTAATTGTCCACTACCAGGGAGACCAGAATGAGATCATCAGATTGCAACAGTCACTGGTGAGTGCTCAATTGGACGTGTCCGAGGCCAGGCAGAGAGAATTGGGCTATAGAGAGATTTCCGCTGGTATGACGTACACACATGTGTGTGTGTGTTTGCCCCGCTTTCTATTTCTAGGCGTGTGTGCGTGTGTCGAAGAATAGGCATGCGTTTGCAATGAGTACTTACATGTACATGTACTTGTGTCTACGTATATGTGTACACTCTTTCTGAGCCATGAGTATTCAGGAGTCTTCAATTTCAAAAAAAAATCCCTGTTTAGAATTGCGAATAATATATATACTACCCATGAGCGTGCAATTTTGGCCCCAAGTATCTATATGAGCTGTTTCTGATTGTGCGTGCGAACACTTGTCACCATACCTTAAAGACCTACAAGTGGAACTGGAGCGTAAGAATCAGGATCTCATCCGCACGAAGACAACACTGCTAACAACATTGGAGAAGATTAGAGAAGCCGAACGACAAGCAGAGAAACTGCGCAGGAAAACTGTCCTCATGAGGGGCGGCAGTTTGGATATGGAAGTATGTTTGTTCTGTATTTATAAACAATATTGCAAATATATATAGTGTTATTATATATATATATTTATGTATATTTGTATATAAATATATATATATATATATATATATATATATATATATATATATATATATACTACTACACACACACACACA